TTAGTGTACTGTTTTTTTTGAGAATATTTTGTTTTGTTTTTAGTGCATTTTGTTTTGTTTTTAGTGTATTTTGTTTGGAAGTCGGTTTTTTCATATTCTTGTTAGTTTTAAATATTAAGAGTAGGTGCACACCTTTGAGTAAACCATCGCACAACTGATGTGCGATTGTCGATTGTTTCGTAGCCCATTCAACTGTTTAGTTGAGCTATTAAAAATCGAGTAGATTCCTATGAACTTACCTCTATGTAAGTTCATAGGAATCAAAGCGAGACTAAATAGTTGTGCTATAGTCAAAGGTGATATTTGAATACATATAATTTCACACTTTCAACACTTTACGATTGTTTTAAAAAGAAAATAATAACTATTAAAATCAGCTTTTCTTTAATCTTATTAAAATAATGTAGAATAGACAATTTAAGTAAAATATTCTTGACCCAAATTTCGAATATACTACGAAATGTAAAATTTAGAAATGCTTAAGTAATTATTACAAAACTTCATCTTTGTTACAAAAAAATATCTCAAAAACTAAATAGAAATCTACAAAATGAAATATTAATAATTTAAAAATTAAATGTTGAGTAACGAGATATTAAAAACGGGACCGTTATTTACTTATTTTATTTAAGAACCCTCTTTGAACTATTTGACTCGAGTTGAATATTAGCTTGATGAATTTTACTTTATCTTTTTCTATTTAAGAGGCGAAATGCTTTACCTTTTCTGCAGTTTTTTTCGCGAGGGCCCTTCTGTTATTCAAGAGTCGTTAGTGAGTCCGTCACTACAATACACTGTTTTTTTTTATAATTTCGAAAGCGGTGACCGCAATTTCTTTTAGAATGTTCAATTTTCAATTCTTTCATTTTAACTCTCTACTTAGACCATTTATATTTGTTATACTATACTAGCGGCCTGCTGCCTAGACATACAAAAATTGTAATACACATGTAAAAATGGCGAGCGTCAGTGGCTCAGTGGTTTAAGCACTTGACTTGTAATCTACAGGTCTTAGGTCCGACCATGTAGCAATATGATTGTCGATTTTGTCGAATTATAATATGTACATAATTTACCCGACGTTCTTACGGTAAAGGAAAGCATCGTGATGCAACCTGCACATATCGGCGAAGAAATTCAAAGATATGTGTGAAGTCAACCAACCCACACTTGGCCAGCGTGCTTGACTATGGCCTAGTCACCCCTTAGGGTAGACTCCGAGCCCCTCGGTGGGGACGTATACTGAGCTGGTGATGATGAATTAGGTGCCTACAATCTCTAGACCCAAGATAATAAAAAAATGTAAGTCATTAAAATTAAAAATGTACTATGTTGATAAGCATTCTCTTTGGACTAAAAAAGGCGACGCGTATGACTATAGTTATGCTTGTAGTCTGGGACTTGATAGTTAGGTGATTTTTTTTGCTAATTTGGACTGGCTAATTTAGTAGCCCTAAACGTCTGATTTTGAGTCTGAGTAAAAACCAATATAATTTATAGTTTAAAAAATAAGATGATGTTTTCGTCAAGATCATGTGATCATGTAAACACAAAAATAACTTACAGGTTTAATAATGCATGTCAAGCTTGCATCAGTTTTTGCAAAAATCTTTCTTACTCAAAAAACTAAAGACGGGAAATGTTACACTTGTAAAACGTTTTGTCTCTATTTTTACAGAGAGAGTGAGAAAGATGGAAGTATGTTTTCATACAAGTGTTTTAACATTGAAAACAACAAAAGATAAAATCACGAGCATGCACCGCAGACGAGTTATTTTTAGCCGACGCCGTGCATTGACTGGCGACGTCATATCAAATTTAATGTCTAGAATTAAAAGAGAATGGAGTGGTTACCTTTATAATTTATTAATGCATGTTTTTATAACATCATGTTGATGAAGTTTTTTTAAATTTCCTGTTGTTTCCTAAGTTTTATTATCCCCAGAGTACTTTCAGACTATCCTCTACATCTATCCCAAATTTAATCGAGATCCGTTTAGCAGTTTAGGCTACAAAACTCTAACAAATATCCATCAATCTATACTTTCGAATTTATAATATTAGTAAGATTGCAAAATTATTCAGATATCTTAAAAAGTATTTTTTTCATATTAAATCTATGAATTTAAAATAGCATTAGGTAATGTTTTTTACATGAAAATGTACCAAGAAATAAATACAAGAGAACACTTTACTACAAAAGATTGTTCACTTTTGCCTCAAAGTGGCTATCATTGGGCCTTTTGAGAGTAAACCTTGTAAAGAAATTTCATTCCTTGGTTGAGTGCACAGCTACCTAATAGATGGGAAATAATTTGCTGATAAAAATGTTAAATCAACCTTTAAAATTACATAGTTTGGTGTAAGTAGATTACACAAGAGATTATCAAAGTTTCTGTAGACACTTTTCATAATTGTGACCCCTATATTTTAGGGGTGGCAATAGTCTTCGGTTGATTTATTAACAAAATATAAGTTACTAACTTTTGCTCGAGTCTTGTCCGCGTTTAATTAAATAAAAGTAACCTATCTTGCTCACTGATAACGTAGCTAGTTAATGGTGTAAGAATTTTTCAAGTCGGTCTAGTAGTTTTTGAGTTTTTTCAATACATACAAAAATACAAATCATTTCTCTCTATAATTTACTATAGATAGTATAGATGAACAATTATTAGTGATAGGAGAGAAAAAAACTTTCTTTAAATATAGTAGTGTTATTGTATATAGTGTTATTGTTGTTATTATTAGAATTTTCAATATTACAATATTTATTGCTTTCTTCATTAGAATACATTTCAACAACAACGCTTCACCAATGAAATACAATAAGGCGTAATGATCGGGCTTAATGTAGGCAATTGGTTTTGCTGCAGGCAAAGTACTGCCAGCTAATGCTTCCATCGATTTGCATCACTGATCATATCTGTTGTATTAGTAGACGATATATTAGACTTTAGGGTTCTGTTCAACGGCGGATCCAAGGGTGGGGTCATGGGTGGTCATGACCCCCCCCCCCCTGAGCTGGTTAGTCAAGAGCTGGACAAAATATATTTACTACTACGACTGTGACCCCCCTGGCGCCGCTGGATCCGCCCTTGCTTCTGTTTGTAGATTCTTTTTTTTTATAAAATTTCGCATAGATGTAGAGGATAGTCTGAAAGAACAAATAGGCTACTCACTTTTGTTTTTTTTTTAACTCCACGCGGACGGAGTCGCGGGCGAAAGCTAGTTGTTAAAGAAAAGATAGACTGTCTTCAAATTTTCTAGGTATCGTATAACGTTGCTTTAAACTATAGGAAATTTCGAAGGGATTTAAGAGGTTTTTGCCTTACAACGTAAGGACGGTAGTTGACAATACATACTAGAAATATTACCTTGTATTCGATAATAAATGCCTAATAATGAACAGTAATAATCGATCATAAAGATATGGTAACGTGTCAAGGTAATTAATAGGTGATCGCAGCTGAGCCGAGGCAGTTTGAACTGGATCGATATGCGTTTGGAATGGAGCCAGTGGAGAAGCGGGACCCGGCGGCAAATAACTCTCTTTTATGTCAAGGCTGTTAGAATATTTGAATCATCGGTGAAGATGGTGCGGATTGTCGCAACGTATGAATGGGTTTATTCGTCTCTGGCGGAAATAATTTTCTTAATACTTCATGATTTATATATGTGATATATGTATACATATATATTCCGCGTACAATTTTGTAAATTCTGTTATTGACAGTGCTACTATGAGATAGATACTATGAAAAATGTTTTGAGATTTTGTTTCAGATTAAAACAAAAAGTTCTAGACCTTTTCTATTTTAACTTTAATTCCAAAATGTTATAATAGTTTGAAAACCTACTTTTACTAACAAATTTTTCTGTCCCCTTTTTTATAGAGCTTCATCAATGGTAACATAATTTGAAACATTAGCTAGACCTGACAAATCTACAATAGATGTTTTAAAACATGCACTTTAATATTTTTAGACAGAACCATTTCCTAGATTATAGTTCCAGATGCATAATTTGCAAAGCTCAAAGTCCGAGCGCGTTATAAATATTTATCAAAGTGATATTTTTGATTCAGCTGCAATGCAGTCTATATGTAATTGTGAGCTATTGTTACAGAGCTCTCGCTATCAAACTGTGAACACTGAATAAAGAAGTTTTTAGAATCGCCATAATCAGAAATTCTTCATATTTGTACGCATACAAAGTTAAATTTAAATATAGCTATAATTTCTAACTTTTGTCGTTAATTATCTATTTTAATTTTTATACCTACAACTATTTAAGTTAGGCATAAAAGTGGTACTAACTAATCTATGACATTTTCCAGTCACTGTGAAGGTAGTAGTAAAAAATAAATTAAAAAGTATCATAATTGTGAGGTACAGGTAGTTATTTGTTTCGAATTAATCTGAGCATACAGTACGGTAACCATCGTTAAATTTTTGACAGCATTTTGCTGCGTTATTTTCCGAACGAAATTGAATGATAACATTCAATTTACTGAGCGGAAAAAGACGATATGTTTTTTAGAAAATGTGGCGGTGTTATTCAGTATTTCATATCGTTATATTGAGTTTGATAACCCTTGAGAATACAAGGTTAGATAGTTTTGGAAGGTGCAAGTGATGTCTTATAGTAAGAATCAGTGATGAGATCTAAGGACGTTATATTTAGGTAATTTTGTTTGGTTGCAATAAAAGTGTGACCTAGTATATTTTTAGTTAAGTTTTATTACATATCAAACTCTGTAGAAAAAGACATATAATTATTAAAACTAGCCCATGAAAGGAGTTTCCCAAAATTTTGTTTAGATATACAAATGTATTAAAGTTTAGCGAATTAATGTTCATTAAAAAGTGTGTAATGTTTCTAAATAACATTTGTTTGTCGTAGATATTCGACAACCACTTCCACTTTCATCACAACTCGGTGTCGCGGCGGTCGCTGCGACCGGCGGCAGAGCACCACGGCAGGCTGGAGAATGACGTCAGAGTACATTGGGCGAAACAGCAGCGCGCCCTCTCCAGGAAAAAGAGGGACTTCCAGATATTATACAATAACGGTACTACAGGTAAAGGATTCCAAAGATACCAAATAAACTCTTATGGGCACTTTCCCTGCTCCGTTTAACCATCCATTAGTGATTTTTTGTCTGATAAATTCATGAATTTCATTTCCAAACTTCAAAAGATCATCATAACATTAATGTCTTACTAGGTATATTAGGATAAAACGAATGGTAACTTATGAAACCTAGCATAATTTAAGTAAATAGATAAAGGCAATGATGGAATGAAATATTTAAGACGGAAATTTGATCTATTGATTCTACGTGACGCCTTTGTTCTGTTACCTCGCAGTATTTCATTAGTTCAATTCAAAGCTGTTGTTGTGCTCAAACAACTATATAAAAGTATTATTTTTGTTGTAGTTGAGACGGTAACATCAGATCCGTACCCTTCAGTGGGTACGAAACGCGAAGCTGGCCGACGGGAGCTGCAGCGGGCGCGCGTCAAGGGCCGCCTGCGCTCCCTCGACCCCAGGTTCCTACTCAACGACCCCAAGTGGTCGCATATGTGGTATCTGGTGAGTTGAAACTCTGTACCAAATTAAATGTAAACGAAAGTTACGCAAACGTAGTCCAAAAAATGTTTGCCAAAAAGTATTAAAGTTGTACTCAATTTACTGTCATATTAAGTTATCCAGTTTAGACTTTTAGAAATTCGTTTATACTCTAAATACAAATATTCAAAAATTCATTCCAATTAAGCTCTACGCTGATGCTAGAATGATCACGATACAAATTAAATTGCGCGATTGGAATCCATTACCACGTGGTCGGGGTTGTTTATTTAATACGCTCGTGGTTTCCAAACATAAAAATACTGGTCAGACTACAATGTGACTTGTTTGCAGAACCGTGGCGGTGGTTTAGACATGAACGTGATCCCTGCGTGGCAGGAGGGCATCACCGGCCGAGGAGTCGTGGTCACAATACTGGACGACGGCCTTGAAACTGACCATCCTGATCTCATCGCTAATTACGTAAGTAATGTTACAGTCACGGGTTATTTGTTGCAAGGGGATTTACCTTACCTCTACTTCTATATCATAAAACTATAAAAAAGATAAATAACTGTTCAAAGATCCGCTTGACGTCAGAGACAATGAATATTAGGTGGCTGTATCAAAGTATCTGAATTAGTGTAACTTTTTCTGATTCATGTTATTTGTTGCGATATTTGGCAACAATGTTTTTGTATGAAGAAACTTACCTATTAATAAAACAAACTTATCACTGCAATAAAATTAAGCAATTTCAATAGAAATAAAACACTCCTTCACACCTTTGATTCAAATGCCGTTATAAAGTGATGTGAAAAAACATTGGCGAAATCCGGAGATATGGCTCGGCAAGGGACCGTTATGCGAAGCAATATTTGTCAGAAAAAAAGGCGAGTTTCAAGTTACGTGATCTATTACGGTCGTGAATCTTCATTCATATTTCAGCTCTCAAACAGGAGAGACCGTTATTGTCAGGAAAGGACAAATGAATCACATTTGCGTTTTTGTACGTCCTATTTTTGTAATGTTGCCATATGTATTCTATTAAAATACGATAGTCTTTTTTACATTTAAATATATCTAAAAATGTCGTATTTAAGAAGTGTAATTGACAAATGTAAGATAGAAAGTAAAATTAGGGTAACCAATAACTTAGAATTTATTGTGAATAACTTTTATTTGTAAATATATTTGGGGATTTCGTTTTGCAAAGATTTTAGTACCAATGAATAGAAAGTTTTATGCAAAACTTAATTATCTTAACTCCCAATAAACCCAATTTCCACTAAGGCAATTGGCCACGTAATTTTTACGTACATCTACTTCTAAGAATATATGTACCATTTCCACTGGCGCTGTCGAAACACTTCTTTAAATACCACGAAATAGCTTTGGACAAAAGATATACATATAACAGTAAAAAATGGATATCATCATCATTATCAGTATTAGGTCTTCCACCGCTGAACATAAGCCTTCCCCACCGATATAGTTTACAAAATGTATAAAGTTTCAATCGTTAAAAGAAATAAAACTTACTGATCTTTTCCAGGATCCGATGGCATCGTATGACGTAAACTCACACGACTCCGACCCTCAGCCGCGTTACGACATGATAGACTCCAATAGGCACGGCACACGGTGCGCGGGCGAGGTTGCTGCCACCGCTAACAACTCGTTGTGCGCTGTTGGCGTCGCGTTCGGAGCTAGTGTTGGAGGTAAGAAGTACCGAAGTAAAAAATAGAGAAGATGTACCACACTCATAGTTTAGAATTGTAACCATTGCTGCAATACTAATATTTCGTACTAATCTGTGACCTAGCCTTCATCCGATGGTCATTGATTGCGCTTCAGGGTGTTTAGTTTTGATTAGAACCTTGTAAAAAAAATTTCCTTGCGTCAACATCTATATAACCGCTTTAGAACCTATCAATCCCATAATCCAGTTCTGCAATGTGCAATGTTTTCATGTATTGGGAATTGTGTTTTGTTGAAATGTAACAGTTGATATGAGATATAAAAAACTCACAAGCGCTATAAATAGTAATTACAAGATAATGCCACATATCATTTACGTACCACAAGTGCTTCCCTTGTGTACACATTTCATACGGCCGTGGAAGTTTTAATTGGCCATTATTTTATGATTATCACGTAAAATGTTAAATATAGTTTTTAACAGTTACAATGGAAGATCTTAATGCCTTTTTATAGAATTTAGACAGATAAAAAACGATAATTTGGAATCGCTTTTGTTATGCTTTCCACCTAGTGTGACTGTAGAGTATGGTTACATTATACTTGAAATTTATCATGTAACTATTTCTAGTCTGAATTGCGTACCACAACTTTTTTTGCTTGACAGTAACTAAAAAAATAGAGCTTATATATCTCATTGACAATGTAGCTTTGTCGAGACAAAAGAATTATTAAAATCGGTCCGGTAGTTTTTGAGTTTATATCGTTATACATCTTACAAAAAAAATAATTGATTACCTGTGGATTTGTCAGTCCAAAGCTACATTTAGGAATAATAATCATACTTCATACTATAATACTTTATACTAATGTTATATATGCAATAGTTTAGATGGATGGATGGATGTTTGTTAGAGTTTTAAGCTTAACGGCTGAACTGATTTAGATAAAATTTGGTATAGATGTGGAGGATAGTCTAAGAGAACATAAAGGCTAATCACTTTTGTTTTTTTTTTTATTTCACGCGGACGGTGTCACAGGCGAAAGCTAGTACGCTATAAATGATTATTGTCGTGTAATATTTAATTTCACCCGGCTGACTCAATTTATGTTGATAGTTGATACGACACCGAATTTAACGAACCTAGGCACGTGAAATTTTATATAAAGCCCCTTTATTGCGAAACCGAGTACTAATAATTTTTGGAATATAAAACCCGGGGACGAAAAAGTTGTAAATGAAAAATGGTTTTTAATCATTGTTCATTTGTTTTTATTAAAAAGAATACAATCCATTTATAAAATTAGTATTCAGTAAACAAATGGTTTGTGCACTTGATAATAATTACAAGACGTTGTCCAACAACAACAAAGTAACTATATTATTAACTTTAAAAATAAAACACAACGTTCATTCAATAGCAAGAGGTATATAAAATTATATCTTCCAAATATAATCAACGTTTGTGGTATACAGTCGAAAACTAACCAAAACCGAAGCGAACCCAATTTTGATTTGACCTTGACATGTAAAGTATATTTGGTTTATCCCAGCGATCCATTAAGCAGTTCACTAACAATACAAAACCAAATCAAAGTGGAGCAATCTTTGCGTTCATTTTCGTTCTTGATCATGTATTTCCTGTGAAGCTTCCTCAGTTCGCTTTCACGGTTTGCTACAAGCCTAAACTATGTCAATCAGGTGTACGTATGTTGGACGGTGACGTCACTGACGCGGTGGAAGCCAGGTCGCTCAGCCTGAACCCTCAACACGTGGACATCTACAGCGCCTCCTGGGGACCGGATGATGATGGGAAGACTGTCGACGGGCCTGGTGAGCTTGCTACCAGGGCGTTCATTGAAGGTGTTACTAAGGTATGTGATAATAATGATGTGATTTCTGGTGCTAACATATCTCTACTTTTCTCTCTTATTCTCTTATAGAGATTGGTGAATTTTTTGTCTAACAATGTCTTCGTTTTTAGGGTCGTAACGGCAAAGGTTCAATATTCGTATGGGCGTCGGGGAACGGTGGGCGGGAGCACGATAATTGCAACTGCGACGGTTATACAAACTCTATCTGGACGCTATCGATATCCTCGGCGACGGAGCGTGGCGAGGTGCCCTGGTACTCAGAGATGTGCAGCTCTACGTTAGCTACTACTTACAGCAGCGGAGCTATTAACGAGAAACAGGTAGGATTGAAAGAATTGCAAGCTTTTAAAGTGAGAAGTTTTAAGGGTGAGAACATGAATTGCGTAAAAGTAACGTGTTGAGAAATAAATGACGACTGATATTTGGATGTGAACGACGATAACCTAGTGTATCAAGACCAAGTGAAGTAGATAATGCTGAATTTTTCATTTTAATGTTCACAGTATGGAAATTCCTTTTTTAATCCTAATGATGAAATTGTCAGATTGATTTCATAAACCTTGTGGTGTTTACTAAATTATTTTTACTATATTTTTTAGCTTTATGACTAAAAATTTACCTGTACAGGTGGTAACAACGGACCTGCACCACTCTTGTACGGTGACGCACACGGGCACGTCCGCGTCGGCGCCGCTCGCCGCCGGCATC